CGACCCCGCTGTCGTAGAAGCAGCACTTAATCCGCGTCGCCGCGCCCGGAGTATCGACGTTTCGGAAAGTGTTCTCGCGCCGGGTCTTGGCCGAGTGTGGACTTATAAAACCGGGAAACGACGCCGACGTTTAATTCGAGCGCATCTTGGTTTCGGCGCGAAACCCGTAATGGAATTGCGAAAAGGTCCTCGAGACGCTCCTCATGACGAAGAGACTATCTTTCTCTCTTAAAGTAGTTGTAGCGTAAAATGAGTATTTCTAAGAATTCGTCGAAACTTCCGCCGTATGCAGATTTAATAAATATGACCTAATTATTGACGTGATTAGAAGACGATTGACCATTCGGGAACTGAGGTATCCGCAAGTGGGTTTCCCATAAAGAAAATTTTATATGAATCTATTTAATTAAATAAGGCTACGCTTCCACATGGGAAACCGACGTTATAACTACAGACGATATAACTACAGACTCCCCGGTGGGCTGTTTACTACTTCTCAATGATAATACGCTGATTGTACTTTAGAGAGATCTCCCATAATTCGCGTAGAGGATACCGCGAGAGTTTCGAGAAACGACGCCTTATATGCGTAACAGTGAATTACTCCGCGCGTTTGATTTATTTTCCCGTGAGAAATCACGCATCCTCGCAGATTTTCTGTTGCAATCCACCGGGCGTGCGGTGCCCAATCGATCGAGATTCGTTCGAAATTCGAACAGGCTTTCGGCTGTTTTCTCGCCGGTGAGGCATACTAGTGGGGTAAAGTTAATGGCAAGAGAGAGTCATCCACACTCTCGCACGGACGGACTCTCTGCACGTCGAGCGACGTTCGTGCCGGCGGTGTGCTCGTTGCGATAGGATCGATTCCCGCTATGGTATCGTAAACCTTACCTATCCCAAGCGAGATCCGAAGTGCGTCGTGAGCCACCTCGGCTCCCTCGCACATATTACGCGAGACATGCGCCCTTGATGCATTAAGACAACTTTTCTTGCCGCGAACGCTACGAATATGAACATAACCCACTTTCAGGTGCGCGCCAAGTCGCGCGAATGGAGTTCGGCGTGAAAATACTGCGACCGAGTGTTACAGGCGTATAAACTGGAGGAAAGTAAATTTCACGGGAGAGAGAAGAGAGAAAGTACAAAGGAGAGAATACAGAGAAAATTTGTATTTAACGAGATCTCACGGTTTTCGCCTTCGGAATGACCTCGCCAAATTTTTTTCCTCCTCGAAAATGAACAAACGAGCATTCTCAGCCGCTATTGGTCAAGAAAGAGATACACGGAGTGTCCAGACCAATAGAGACAAATTCTGTGAGAATGCAGGCCGGATTGAGATGAATAAAAAGTTCTCTACCATTTTGCAAACAACACGCAAAGGAAAGAGGTATTGATTATTGAAAATATTTCGGTATAGAGGCTTCTTTAATTAATAACTCAGAAATTTTGTGGTATTTACGAAATGGTAAAGCACGTTTCTGTTCAAAATGACTTAATTTACTCGTATAACGATTCGGTTTCGTCGAATCTTGAAATTTAATATTTCAGATAATCGCCAGATGATCGTGAGATTCGCATCATCTTTCTTAATGTTGCTCACCAATAACGGGGAATGGAATCCACGGGTTTCAGAGGAACGCTTTCGCGCCGATAACGTCGGGAAATTCGGCGTGTTCACCGTGTTTCTTAACATACGTCGACGGCGAAGGGCGAGAGAAAGTTAGACGGCCACCTGCACAAATCCCTCGACTCCTCGCCTCGCAAGAATCAACGCGATGATCCACCTCGGCGATAATCCACGCCACGAATTCCCGATTCGACTTTACGGCGGGAATCGAGATAACTTTACCGCGCGTCGTCCGCGGTTCTCGAGCCACGGTAAATTTCCAGATATAGACACCCCACGAATTTCGTCGTCGCGACGTTTCGGGGGAAGCGGACGACGAGGCCGTTGGGAATATTTCCGCGTAGTCTGTCCGCGTCCGCTTCGCGTCGCGCAGCCATGTTCAAAGGGGTCGACGAAATTACTTAGGGGATGACTCACGACGACTTCTGAATTGCGCAATCGAAATCGCAGCCCAGACGCGGTTTCGGGCCTCGAGTAATAGTGGAGACTTCTAAGGCTACGTTTCAAAACACGTTCTTTTCGAGGAAAATTTTATTCGGTGGCCTCCGAGCGTTGGAAGAGGGGCAAGCCAGTCGGAAACGCTCGTCGAGCTGTGGAATAACCGCGAGAAGTAAAATTTTCCTTGAAAAGATCGTTTTGCAATTATGATATAACTTTATGACATAACTATATAGAAAAAATAGTCTTAAATCAAGAATATTCTCGTATATAAGCAAGAATATTATAATTTTTTTAGAAGATTTTAGTCTTGAATTGAGTCCAAATAATACTTGCATCAAAACAAATTCCATCAAATATACGAAAATATCTATTCTCGATTTAAGACTGACCTTTTTTCATATGTATATACGCCTTGGTTTACAACCTTGCTTTAAGACGTAAGCAATAAGCGAATTGACCAATCAAGGTCGATTATTTTTCCAATAAATAACTGTGCTTGGTCAATTTGCTCATTGCTTACGTCTTAATCCTCTGACGGTAAAGGTTGGGATCGAATCCGACTCCATGTTCCGTTTTATTCATTTTCCATCTAGTTAATGTACGAAACGGTTCGAGGAAATAAATAACAATAACACGAAACTTCTTTCTCCGTTCACTTATGAGTGGAATAATCGAATAAAATTTACTAACTGACTGTAAATAATTGTAGCAAAACACTCGGACGTTCTGAAAATTCACTTTGCCACTGGAGGGTAAAAGCGAGACTGCGAAGCAAGGTTACTTCTCGGGACGACATTCTACCTCCGGTTGTCCTTTGACATTCGTCGATATTTCGCGGACGGCCGCGTAATATATCCGTCTTAAATTCGCGGGTCGGGCGAGGGTATCGCGCGTCCCGGACATCTTGGATAACGCCGGCGGCTAAGTTACGTTTATGCACGCGGTTCAACGATCTTCGCCTAATTTATCACCGTCATTCATAACGGTTCATTACCAGCTACGTACAGAACGATAACGATACGTACTTCCGTTCGCGATATTTATGACGCGATACGCCCGATGTCCGCGCGATTACGTCAGTTTATTATAAATCGCGTTACACTGCAGTCATCGTCTAATCTGCATCCCTTTGCCGGTCCGACTGCGCCGGCCGGTCAAGCGTGTGTACGCGCATATACGTGTGCGGCATTTGTGTGTATCTTGGCGCGATCTCCGCTCTCGGACGGATTAGAGAGCGAATTAAACCGTAAACGTTCGAGCGAGCCGGCAATTTCGCCGCGCGCGCGCGCGCCCCGATCGACAAGATGGACTCGCGCGCGGATCGAAATCGCGCGAGACCGCACGTGCACTCGCGACGGAGACGTGTTCGCGACGACGGGTCTGCCTCGGGGAAGACGCCGCCCAACCGAATCGAGTTATTCGCGAGCGGACGGCGAAAATATCGCGGCGTGCGAATACGCGCACTTGAGCCACCCTCCCTGCTCGTTGCTCTCGTGTTACCCTGGACACTTCGAGCCGGCGCCGTCGAGTCACATCGATAAGAAGCACGCGGTGCGTACTCACAGTTATCATTCTTCCCATCGACGCGGCCGGCACGCTGGCACAGCACGAGCGCCAAGAGCAGGAGGGCCCGAGCGCCCCCCGCTAGGCACATCCCTGGCGGCCTTATCGTTATCGGCACGCGCGCATCTCGTCGGTGCCACCCTCGCGCCAAAGACACAGATAGCTCCGCGACCAGGACAGGCAGGGAGTAGTCGTCCTTCCCTCTCTCCTTTCTGTGCTCTATTCGATCACTCGCACGAACGAACGAACGGACGCACGCACGCACCACCGCGACCACCACCGCGATCCAACCGCACCCCGCGACGTGTCTCGCGCGACTGAGCGCCGCTGCTCGGCGCGATTTTACGCGCGAACCGCCCCCACACGCATCGTCCCCCTTCGTCGTCGTCGTCGTAGCGTAGTCGTCGACGTAGTCGTCGACGTCGTCGTCGACGTCGTCGTCGTCGTTATCGTTGAAGAGAGCTACGGAGGGGGGGAGAGAGAGAGAGAGAGTAGGACAGCTCGCGCGTGCGCCATTCGCATCGGTCTCGAGAAGGGTGTGGATGCGGAGGCGGGAGGGGGGACGGGGTTGAAAGGACCCCACGACGACGTACTACGCCGACACCCACGCTCATTGTTGAGGCGAGTTAATGAGGGCGAGCGTAACCGGCTTTCCGGCCGGATTACGCTACGCCGTGGCAACGACGCGACGCGGCACGTCGCCGTGGACACGCGAGGAACGCGCCGGAGTCCCGTCGCGAGTCTCGTACGAGATATACGGCACGGGAGTCGGGCGTGTGGTTAGAAATCGGACGATATCGTTCGAGCAGGAAAGAGAGAGAGAGAGAGGGAACGTTTATTTCAGTCCTAAGGCATGCTCTCTAAAGACTAATAAGTGTTTACATAAGTCGGAAAGAAAAAAAGCATACAATAGTAGATAACAAAAAATAACTTTGCAAAACACATATTTATAACTCATTGCCTTGACTTTTTAATTAATTAATTAAAAATAGTAACAAATAAAAAATTGAAAAACAATGAGATGTTGTTAAAAGTTCAAATCGTTAAAAATGACGATTACCGTTATATGAGCCGTCAGATGTACACCAGGTGTACGTCAGGTGTCATTCAAGGCAAATGTTCCGATTATTTTCCGGAGAAAACGGCTGATCGGAAAATTCTGTTTTTAGGTTTCTTGAGTTTCTTAGGTCCCAATTACTCGAAAATAATACCTGGATCTCAATATTTTCCTTACCGACCCGAAACGGGTCAAGGAAGGTTTGCACCTTATAATAAAAACCAATTTTGTCGATATTGATACTTTTTAACTTCTCTTTTGAATCTTTAATTCTACAGATTGAAGTGTTAATATTTTAACAGCCTTCAACAGTTTATTTGACGTTAAAACGGCGAAAATGGAAATTTCAAACATCATCAGGGTGCGTATTATGGATTCGTTCGAAATTGATTTCGATCGGAATCGCCCGATTGTTTCCTACAAAATACAAAAACTCGGGGAAATAACTAAAAGTTTTTGATGGAAATCGATTCTGAACAAGTCCATAATACATGTCCGGGGTCAAATTAAAAGTGTAATTATATTATTAAAATTGTATATACGTGTGTATGTGAAATTGAACATATTTTGTTACCTGAACCCCTACTGTGTTGTAAAATCAAAGGTTTAACACAGAGCTGAAATTTCGGTGAAAAGAGTACGAGGCAGCGACTGCGCGAAGGGAAAGAGAAAAGGAAATCCGCAGCGCAGCAAATTATACGCAATTAAATCATGCGTCAAGAGAGAGAGAGAGAGAGAGAGAGACGCGCGCGTCGGGACGACTCGATAATCGCGACGATAGATAATTAACGCGTCGAGTCACATTAGCCGCTGCGGTACGTATAGTTGCATAAATCACGCAATCATCCTAAGATAAACGAGTCCGCTTGCGTCGAGCAATGCACGCGGAGGAGCGACAATCCCCCGCGGAGCAGGCAGCGGGTAGCTTCGAGTTAAACTTCTGCACACCTGTGTGCTACCTTCTCCTCTCTCTCTCTCTCTCTCTCTCTCTCTCGCCGGCACGGGTCTAAATATCGTCGCACGACCATAACCGAGCGGCCACAATGTACCGTGATGCTCTCCTCCTCTCGGCGGAGCAGGTGCCGCATGCGGAAGTTGCCACGCCGGTTTTACACGCTCCGGCCGGCCGCGGAAGCGTCGAATCGCAGTGAACTTCCTCGTCGCATTCAATTTCAAGGAAATTTAGAATTCCTCGCGGACGTGATCGAGGGAGGAAGGGAGGAAAGAGTTGGGGAACGGAGGGAGAAGGAAAGGGAGGGAGACGGACGGTGTGGGTCGGCGGGAAAAGTACAGGAATTGCAAATCTTGACCGCGTGACTCGGCGTGTCGCGCCGGCAAGCGCGAAGAAGTTGCCGGCGCGCGCGCACGGCCGGAAGCGGATGCGGGGATTGTCGTCGGTGCACACGAAGTTATAACACTTCGCCACCGTGAAGTCGCGTCGACTCCCTCACGTTCTCCGCGCTGAAAGGACGTCGAAGTGCCAGCTGCACCTTCGCGACTTCACCGGCGGAGGGAAGACTCACGCCTCGTGGAAACTCGAGAAAAACGCCGATATTCGCGAATGTCGCGAGACAATTCTCACTTTCTGCGACGAAGGTGATGCGAAGTAACAACCCTCGACAGGTTGCCCGACACGCAATCCTGATCCTCAGTTTTAGTGATTAAGAAAAATTGATTAAGAATTTATTAAATCACTTACTTACAAGATATAATCATTGTACGTCTGAGAGACGTCAAGTTGCAGTGTCAAGGTTAATCAAGTGCGACCGAGCGACGCTACGGTAATTAAGAGCTCCGTAAATACATTATGAGGGGCGCGGGGAGAGAAAAAAGGAGCATCTTTCGGTGAATCGCCGGGGACAAGTGGTTCCCGGCGACGGGCGATTAAAACCCTTTCCTTTTAGGCGGAAAATTAGATTGCCGCCCGCCGGGAAGGGAGGAGAGGGTGGATGGGACGAGCGCGGGCGAGGTAGTGACGAGATTAAGGAGTCGTCTGCGGAAAATTAAGGAGGTGCGAAAAGTCGCCGCGATAAAATCTCATTTTATAAGCGGCCACGAATGAGTCATTGTGCGGCGACGTCGATTCCCCGCCGTATCGGAAGCGCTCCCGTCGTGATGAGAGAAAGGGGAAATTGGGGGGAGGGGGCAGGGTGAGAGATAAAATGAGGTGAAAAAGAATAAAGGAAATGAAAGGATCGCCCGTCGAAAATATTACGTGACGAGCTCGGGGAGTTCGTTCGCGCGATTTTTCCACCCTCCCCCCCGACCACCCCTCCTCCCCGTCGCGGAATCGACGAGAGTGGCGACGTGTCAAAATTATTCACGCGATTTCGCCGCTCGTGATCGCGCAACGACGGGAGGAATTAGAATTGATCGGCGCTGAGATCCGATTTGCCGTGAAAAGTTGAAAAATTCAGCGACAATTACGATCGATCCGGGCCGGCGAAGGGTCAAGGAGTGATCCGGAAATTATTAGGGGCGATGAAAACGTAAATAATTCAGGCCGCCGCGGAATATATACGGTTCCGATAGAGGAATGAGCAAAGAGGATCTCTCTCATCTTCCGCGCGGAAGAAAACGATGCATGTTTCATCACCGTACCGACGCACGTGATCCACGTAGTCGACGCGAAGTGTCGGCCACTCCGGAGCGTTCGCGTTTTCTCCGCCACGTGCCGATCGAAATTAGCGACCCGAGGTCGAGATCGATGTGCATCGACCCATCTACAATAGGAGCGGGTGTATCCACTTCGCATTCGTCTGTCGGAATGCACGAAAAGATTTTTCAATTTCGCGATTTCACACTAAAGTTAGATTGGATCACAAAATCTATATTTATTTATTTATTTACTTATTTATATAAAAAATTCCCCGTTTTATAGAAAAAAGAAGAAATAATAGTACAATATCATTTGTAGGCACGAAAAAGAGAAGGAAAAAAATGTACATTACAGACGCAATGTTGAAATCTTCTTGCGATGCGAGTGAATCAAGCGACTGAGAAATAATCGGCAGATCCGTCCGTGGGGATTTCGGTTCGATTATTTTCCACGTTTGTAGAGACGCGGATCCCAATCACTGGGCGGGTACTCGCGGCGTGCCGCCGAGCAAACGAGCTGCGCGTAAGGCGACGTTTAACGAAGCGATACCATCCACCACGACGTCATTGTCGTCGCGGTACGTCGGCGATCTCGCGAGCGATCACATCAATCGACGACACACGACACTGGCGTGGGGGGGGGGGGGGNTCCACCGACTATTACAACGCCACAATTTCCAGCCCCCCTCTCCCCCCCTCCTCCACCGGCTCGTCGTGCCGCGCACGTCGTCGTACAAGCGAGAAAAATCGATAGCGTATGCGACGTGTCCGTCATATCCATCGCGTCGTGTCGTGAAGCGATGACACGCTGGTATATCGTAGCCAGTCAAAGGGTTAAATCGATATTGCGATTTCAAGCCGCGTCGCGAGACACTCCGAAGCAGTGGCGATAAACTTCTCGTCGTGCGCTTTAGTCCTCCTCTCTCAATCGTGCTTCGCGCACGTCGAACTTCATAAATATGAGATCCACTCTGTCTCTCTCTCTCTCTCTCTCTGCTTGTATTATTATTTGTATCATTATTCGAATCATTATTTATGTGGTGGTCACGGTTATTTATATATAATTATCTAGTTTTCAGTGACACACACTCTATATTAATAATTTGAGTTTTCATTATAAATTTATTTTTAATTTGTTTTCCTATGAAATTATAATTTATATTATTTTTTCATTTTTTTTTATATGTTACGCTTAAAGGGTTAAATCGATATTGACACCCCGCAGCGTATAATAAAAAACGTTTTCTCTCTCTCTCTCTCTCTCTCTTTCACTCACTCCCAAGTTGAAATTTTAATGCTACTTTGACGCTCTTACAATAGTTGGTGCGTCAAACTATTTTTTAGGAATTATTTTAAATTTCAATTACGTATTGATGGAATATTATCTATTATCTGTCTGTAAACGTTAGAAAACGATTGGCCATCCGAGATATTCGTAACTAAACCTGCTACTTTTCATATATTAATATAATATTTTCTTTGAAGTTAATGACCTATTTTTAACTTCTATTTTTAATTTCTTCTACATCATATTTAGGATTTTAATAAAAAAACTACTGTGATATTGGTAACTAATATAAAGATATACAAAAATTTCAGAATTGTTGACCATTGTCGACCTGTCCAGAAAATATAACCATA